ATCATGCTTTATTCATTGACAGGTTCGAACCATGGGTTTAAGCTTAAGAGTAAGCCTGTTTACTATTGCATGAAGTTTCCCGATTATCACATGAAGTATGCTGGCTGTTCCAGTTGTGAGGATTCGCCAGAGCCGTTGACCGATCACATCTCACCGAAACTAAATGTATGTCCCGCTGCTGCGGATGTGGGCAGTAACGCAGTATCTGTGTCCGAAGTTCAGCTGTTCAATGACAATGAAAGAAAGTGGTAAGTCTTATGTTGGTGTTCTGTAACGCTCATTTTCTGAAAATCCCCCTCTGTGTGTACCATAATGGAAGCATCAGAAATGCCACACCGTGTCACTATTCATTTCTTAAGCTTGGAGCTGAGTGTGGACAATGAAGACGAGTTGCCGCCTACGCTTGAAGCTGACGGTGCTGCAAAGACTACCACCGACCAAAACGAATGCATTTTGGGCGGCGCTGTAGGCCCTTTTATTACTTTTTGCTTTGTTCTGGAGGTCGTAGCCCGGAAAAAGTTTTGTACGTCTTCAGTCTGGAACGCATCACTGCGGTGAGCATTACCTCATTTTTTGTGTACTTCGACGATTGTTTTCATTTGTAAGCAACAACAACAACGAAACTGCAGGACACATCAGTGAAAGAATGGGAGAAATCCGAAAAAGCTTGTGGATCGTCTGCGATCAATTGCCAAAATGAGATGCCGCTGCTTCGCGTAAATGTGGGTGGGAATGAGAGTACATATGAAGGCGAGGATGAAGATGCGCCACCAAGGCTGTCGCCCAACTTTGCTTTGGTTTGTATTTCAACTTTTTAAACCTTTTTATGCGTTTTTTGTATCTATGCAACAAAACGCATATTGTCAAGAGGTTATCTGTGTGTATGTGTGTTCGCCCTGTACCAGTTTTTCACCTCGAAACCTGCCAAAAAAAAAAAAAAACTGGGAGCTTGATCTGCACGCATATGCGGGCCCTCAGCTCCAAAATCAACAAAAGACGATAATATGCTTCAAATTCCAGTTTTCCAATTTTTCGGCTTCTCCAGTTGGTAACTTACTCACAAGAAACTTTCACGCAACTTCGCACCTGCAGTCGGTGCGTTGGCCAATTATCTGATTAATATGTAACGCAACATATCGCTTATAAAAAGCGTAGTGCCCTCAGTTCGGTGTAAGACTCGATAATTGTCCTGTTGAGTTAATAAACAGCGGTACATGCTTGGGTGATCAATACGAACCAAAAGCGAGTTGGGCATGGAGCTAAATAGAGGGGAAGAGCAAGCTTCATAGTTTTCCCCGAAAACTATGAAGCTTTTTTTCCAACGCTAATTTTTTATCGACCCAGCAAGTGGTACTTTCCAGTTCCAGTGTGTTACCACTTTTGTTGCACTAAAGTAAGGCATGGAATACTACGTTTGCTTGTGGCAAGAACGACAGACAGTGGAT